CCCATAACTTTTGATCCACTCAAGATAATTTAACAAACATTCAAACACATACTGTATGCATCATCACTGGACTGAGTGTTGAATATACACTTCATCACGCCAGCTCCAAGGTCAAAAATCAAGGTCAAATTTTATACAAGGTCGTTGCTTGTCTGGGCCACTGCTAAAGACTGCTGTATAATAGTTTGTCCACATGTGTATAATGTGCAGTACTTTTGTTTTTTACCTAGTATTATGCTTCTGAACAAATACTAAAATACATATTTGTCTACACTGAAACGTTGTACAATGTGTTGTTGTTGTTTTGTATATCTTTGTTTGGGTTTCAATAGGAGGAAAGGGGACCCTGAGCGGGCCGAAACGTTCTTGCAGGAGGCCTTGAAGTCGTACGTGTCTGAGGGGTGGAGTCTCCTCGTCACTCATACCAGGAGACAGATTGCCGAGTGTCAGAAACTGCTGAGCAGAACTGAAGAGTATCCTTCGAGTGGCTGGAAACGGCTAAAAGAGCATTCAATATCAGCTGCATTGAACTGTGGAATAAAACCGTCAGCAAACCTTTTTCGTTCAGAGTACACGACGCACTTCAGCCTCTGTTAGAAATGGCTCTTTAACCTGCTCCATAAAAACATACCTGCTCTATTTTACTTTGGAAGCTGCAGTACAGCAGTAGTTCAACTTTTGATCTGGGGATTAAGGAACGATTATGAACAGTTAATATATTTCCCACAATAGATAGTTATTGGAACAACTCCAGTTTGTAAAAACAGTTTATCTCTGATTGAAATGACGAGCTCTTGGCTAGTTGGAGCGAAGCCAAGACCAAATCATCTGCTGCTGTCTTAAAACGGCTCCAGTGCTAAAAACGTCTCGGTGCTTCACGTGAACGCGATCTTTTAAACCTACGCATTGTCGTCTATATCGAGTTACATTCAAGGATTATTCTCGTGATATTGTGTTACTCTCATCAGAAGTGCTACAGCTAGTTGCTGCTGCTACTCTGTGGATTTGGTGTAAATAACTTTACAATTTGCAGTAGAAATAAAAAAAATGGTGTTTGCTTGAACAACTGTGAGATTTTTGACTCTGGAGTTGCTCTACGATGGGAGCAAACCTCTCTGGAGTTGCTCTACGATGGGAACAAACCTTTCTGGAGTTGCTCTACGATGGGAGCAAACCTCTCTGGAGTTGCTCTACGATGGGAGCAAACCCCTCTGGAGTTGCTCTACGATGGGAGCAAACCCCTCTGGAGTTGCTCTACGATGGGAGCAAACCTCTCTGGAGTTGCTCGACGATGGGAGCAAACCTCTCTGGAGTTGCTCTACGATGGGAGCAAAC